GCTCCAAATGGTCCAAAATCCGATTTAATTTTTCTCCAGCCACATCTTCCTGCCAGAGGGTGGCTGCTTTACTTCTCCATGGTCCCTATATGTGCAGAAAAGTTGCCACCCTCTATGCTGGTTCATGTGAAGGACTACAACATGCTAAGGGTGTGTCGTCTCAGTCTCCACCCACACCCCCCCCTCCCTCTAGACTCTGCAAGGAGTGGGGATTTCTTCAGCTCTCCCACACTGATATATGATCTTTGATTTCTCTCCTCCTGGCTTACCAAGGAGGGAGTGTGGGGGGAGCTGCTTGTGATCACAAACTTTCTGAGAAGAATCAGCATGTGAGCTCTCACCAGCCTCATACTTTCTTCTGAGTCTCAGCTGACATGCTGAATCTGGTCACACAGTCACAGAGGATATGGCTCCTACATTTGAAATAAAGTTGTTTTTTTCTGTGTAGATTGTTATAAACCTGACGCTTGTTGTAGATTTGTTGAAAATAGTTTTGATAATTCAGAGCATTGCAGAGGAGATTACAAGCCGTGAAACTGTCACAGTGGGTTTAGTGAGGAGAGAGAGGGGGAGGAGGAGGAGACAGCTGTGTGCAGTGAGAGATGATTCCTCTCGGCCTCAGGGAGTTGTAGGCAAAGAAAGATATGCACGTGACCAGAATCAAGGTGCATGGCTCTTACTAAGGGACAGGAAGTGTGCCTGGAGAGAAGAGACATGGGAGCGAGTGCAGCAGACTTTCTAAAGGGATTACAATAGTAAGAGTTTATTTTAAACATAAATAAATATGGCTTTGGAGAATGTTCATTATGTAGATGTGTATAAGGAGAACAAAGCTGAGGGTTTTGCGTCGCTTTAAAGGAAGAATATTCATTACATTGCCTTTTTTTCATTCCAGCAACCATTCCTCTAACATTTCTATAGTCTTTGTCCATCTACTGTAACAAGCCTTCAGTCTCTTGATAGTCTTGGGTAGCATTACACATGTGGTAAATATATTTGTGGCATTTTTCAAGCAAATTAACACCAGGCTGCCCCTCCTTCAGGAAAGTCTCTGCGGCAGGTTTACAGGCCTGTGCTTTGTTATTGCTGCACATCCAGGTAGGACAGTATGCAATGTTCTGAGACAGATTTATGATTTTTACTCTAAATAGATGCATAATTAAGACGTGGTCAGGTTTTATTATGTTGTAGTGCTACTTTAGAGCAGGTGAGGGAGGAATTTATGACTCAATTTATAACCTTGTAGTGAATCTGTCCCATGATCTGCCTTACTCCTCCTGTTTAGCAATGATGCAGCTTGTGACAAAATGTATAAATGCACCCCCCC